AAAAATTAAACGATGTATTATAATGTGGCGGGAAACTCGAACGCAAAAGTGTTCGTCCACTTACAAACTAATAAACTGATTATTATACAAAATTGCCATTAATACTTAGTATGGTACCCTTTAGATGAAATTATGGCTTTTAGACGTTTGGGCATTGTTTTTACTAACTTTTCTGTAAAGTCTGGTGGTATTTTTCCCCATTCCTCTATAAATCGTTGTTTTAAGTCATCACGATTTTTCGGCGGTGATTTGCGAATATTTTTTTTTATTTCTGCCCACAAGTGGTCCATTCTCTAACGATGGCAGCTTTGTGCTTTGGGTCGTTGTCCTGCTGGAACATAAAGTTATCTTTGATTCCAAATTTCTCATCGTTTAATTTTTCATTATGTATAACAGTTATGAATCCCGCAAAATGTCATCTTATTTTGTATAAATTAAGCTTCATTTCTGCATTTATTTTTCAAATTTCATACACTGAGTGCGGTAGGTGGACGAACACTTATGCGGCCGACTGTAGTTCTTACGAATTAGAATTATTAGCAATAGCGAAATCAGTGTTGGAATCCGGGGAGGAAAGTAGATATCGATTATATTTTAACAATATAACTTTTATTTTAACGATGACACCACTTATACTCGCGGACTCCGAATTTACAAGGCGCGAAATTCACGAAGGGAAGTGACGTTGTGGTTTTTTGCTGTGTACTAGATCGACAGCTCTTAACTATACTCGCTTGGTTTCTATAATGATCTTCTAAGGGATTTGGGGGAGAAGGTGAACTTGGTTCTGGTGACGAATTGCTGGACAGGACTTTGAAGGGACAGTCAACGATCGATGAGTAACTTGTTTTTCGGCGTTATGGGGTTAATCTTAAGAGTGAATTGGTGACTCAATGTCAATAGGCGGGATAGGAATAGAGTCAATAGGAATAGAGTTTAAGATAATTACTGATTGTGAAGCCGTACGAAAAACGTTGTATAAGAAAGATCTTTGTCCTAGAGTCGCAAGATGGGCATTGATGCTCGAAGAATTCAATTATAAAATAGAACACCGGTCGGGAGAGGGTTTGAAATACGTTGACGCGTTAAGTCGTTACCCGATGTACGTTGTTGAGGATAAGTTGCGAGAAATGATTCGGAAAAGACAGGACGAGGATGAACGAATTTCGGCTATCAAACAAATATTAAAATTGAAACCATACGAGGATGGATATTTAGGAGGATATTTAGTAGAAAATAATATATTGTTAAAACGTTGTGAAACGTTGTAAAAATGTTATTGTATTGCTGCGCAGTATGTTTGTGGATACGATTCAAAAAGTGCATGAGAACGGACACTTTGGTGTCAAAAAAGTTGTTGAATACATTAAGGACGAGTTTTATATACCTAATTTAAACGAGCGGGTAGAAAGAGTGATAAAATGTTGTGTGTCTTGTATTCTAACGGAAAAGAGAAAAGGTAAGAAAGAGGGTATGCTATCACCCATACCGAAGGGAGATACTCCCCTCTGTACTTACTATATACAATCATCAAGGACCGATGACAGCTACGGGTAAGGGGTATAGGTATATTTTAGTGATAATAGACGCGTTCGCGAAATTCGTGCGAAAGAAGTGTTGAATAAGTTGACCGCGCAGCAAAAGACTTTCGGAAACCCTTCACGTCCAAAGAGTTCAAAGATTATTGTGTATCGGAAAACATCGACCATTGTTTAATAACTACTGGCGTACCTCGAGGGAACGGTTAAGTTGAACGAATAAATAGAACGATTATTCCGGTGTTGACAAAACTCGCGTTAGACACGCCAAACCACTGATATAAACATGTTGATAAGTTGCAGCGATGTCTGAATAGCAGTTTTCAGCGGGCCATAGGTATGACGCCATTCGAGGTGCTCTTCTGTATAAAACTGCGGCAAAAAAAAAAGGTGTACAAGTCCTTTCTTTGATTGAACGAGAAGCGGTCGAGATGTTCGATGAATCTCGCGAATATTCTTAAAATTCAAGCGGAAAACCGTCACAATGACGACAGGGCGTGTCTAAGAAATGCGAGATTTCGGCGGCGAAGTGGTGGCGTGGACTTTGTCACCCAGGAAGAGAAAGCGCGCGGGTACCTGAGGGTACCATAAACTAATCCCTTTCCCCGGAAAGTCGAACGAGGGGGCTCCAACGGTTTTTCGGAGCAACGCGGGATACGACGCGGAGAGGACAGCGAAGCATTTAGTAGTAAGGCGTTGTGCGACCGCGGTGGAACCCGAGCCGCAGGGGGCCCTAGACAAGGAGCAGCGCAGGCTGCACTCCCGCCCCACGGCTTGCAGGGCCCTAACGGCCGAAGAAGCGTATAAAAACGGGAAAAAGGGCAGCGGCCCACACATTATTGTACCCAACCATCGACCAGCGAACCAACGTCATTTTAAAAATCAGTTATTCTAAGCCCTTCTAATTCTTTACTCTTACATGTATTTTCTTCATCTTTTGTTAGTATGTCATTATATTCGGACATCAGCTTTACGCCTCGCCTCTGCAACGTCGTTAACTATTTTTTAATTTTGTACTATTTCTAATACTGCTTTATACGAATCATTGTTTACCCAAACCGGTGGGTCTTTTTGTAAAAAATTTATATCTATATTAAATTAAATGAAATTGTCTATTCCGTTATTAGCAATATTTTCCATATCTTTTAAAATAACTTTTTTCAATGAAATTTCTATATCTGTATTTTCCAAATTTTCTACCATACGTCTTTTTTTATTAAACGATAAAGTTGCGTCAACAAAAAGATGATGCTGCACATTCTGGCGTCAAATACCACAAATGCTCACGAAATTTGTTTATTCCTACCCGTCTTATGTTTTCGTCAATTTTTTTATATTCAGAAAACTCTTGCAAAAATCGTAAATCCTGATATGGGGCTACCGCAGGAATTGGAGCATTAAACCAAGCTTCAATATATAAATTTGCCACAAATCTCTAATTCCTTCCATTTGCTCACTATTTAATAAAAATTCGTCGCGAAATACATATGTATATTTTTAGTATATACATATATGGCTTTAGCCATCCATCTAGTATGGTGGAAAGCTCCCGGAATGTAAAAAATATTTCCCTCGGGACAAATTCCGACAAGGAAAATTATCATTAGCTCCAGAAATTCTATATAATCGCCTCTTGGTTGCTTCTGTTCTATGGTATTCAAACAGAAGTCTAATTTTAATGGTATGTTCTATAGCTTTCCCACGAACATAAGTAATCGTCGTCTATACCTGACTGAAAATTTGATTGATTAATTTCGGCCAAGATTTCTGAAATTTTTTAAATATCGGCATTTCAGGAGCTGAAGATTTCAATATTTTTTCTTCGAACACACTTTTTAAAACTAATTCGTATATGTGTACATGTATGATGGCGGCATAGAAATTACAATAAATCTCGGCCAACCATTTGTTCTAAACTAACGCAGGCATCTTGAAATCGTCTCATATTTGTAGACGTTGTGTCGCAACAAATCGTTTGAACTAAAGCGGTTAGTTCCCAATCTTGTAATAATTGGAATATTGCTACCACTTGTTTCTTACCACTACATTTCTCTATCGCAGAAACACCCAGGAATTTTTCTCTTTGCTCATATGTAATAAGCACAGGCAATCTCTCTACCTGCTATTTACCAATTAAGCATGGTAAAACTTTTCCGTCCCAATGAATGGTTACAGATTCCGGAGGGTTTCTTTGAAATGCTTCACGCAATTTTACACTACGTTCTGCATGAAAACGACGATGATAACGCCGGTTGGAAGATGGATTAACGGATCGTCTAACGTATGTATGTTCCAATGCTTCGGCAGTGGCAATTATGATGCGAAATGCACCACGATCACTTACTTTGCACTATACAACGCTAATAATTTTCTAACACTGTTGTACATTTTCCTTGAGGGGATACATGCTTTGTCCTAAAAAACATCCACTTCTTTTATCACTATCGCGGCACTTTGTCGAAGATCCAATTTTACTTTTTGTAAATTGTAAAACAACACTCGCAAAACTTGTCCATTACTAGGAAGAAGATTTGAGCAAATAATTTGACTTTCGTCATGTTCTAGCAAATATATTTTATTGCAACTTCTAGTTTCCATTTCTATAAATTATCTCTCACTTTAAATATAACTCTGCGATAGACACACCTCAAACTCTCAGTCAAGAATAAGGAACAAACACTTGCTATTACTAGCAAATCTCAAGTAGTGGCTTTTTTTATTACAATAAAAATAGATGATTGGATTTTACACCGTTCAGGTAGTTGACTCATGTAGCAGCGTGACATGCTAATTGTAAGCCTAATGCTAAATAAAATTCAAAGATTTTGTATATATTTCTGGAAGTAATACATGAATATTATTATTATACATCTTTTATTCAAAAATTTTTACTAATATTCCCAAAATAGAGGAACCCGATTGTTTGAAACTGACGTGAAATCAGTAAAATTTCAAAATTTTAACTCAAATACAACATGGGTTCTTGTTGTCTAATCACACTAAAATTTTGCACATATCATTTTCTCACCAAGTGTCATAATTTAGGAGGGTAAGACAAAAAAATATCGGTGGTCGAAAAATAAGGACCACCCTAATGCAGCTTTCTGGACCTGCTGTTCGTCTTCCTCACTAAAATAGGATTCTTCAAAGCAGTGATTAACGTAGTGCGAGCACTCGTGGGTAATTGTTCTACACACTGTAGCTTTAATGCGCCGAAACAACGTATAACTTATGCAGGCATTCCCCAAGCGATGGAAGCCGTCCCATCGTCTTATCATTCTTTTATCTCACGTTCAAAACTTCTATTCGACTCTCCGCTTATCGCCAGGATCCCTCTCAGATTGTTCGACAACTGCTAGAAGATCGGGATTCTCAAAAAATTTGATAGACGCTTGTTTCTTATTTCGTTCGTCCTCAATAACCGTCGCAATTTCGACTGTCACATCAGTCGACCCACCGAATGACGATACGATCCGCTCTTTCAACGTCTTGTATTTCCCGCACAAATGGCAACACAGTATGGCGAGGTTCAGGATTAAATACTTATTACAATATAATTACATACATTTATTACTAAAACTTAAAACTACAACTTAACCCTAAAATTGGACGCGTTTAGACGTCCTTTGACCGTCCTTAATAATTTTAAGAGAATTATCACTGCCTGTAAAATCTCCGAATTATTCAGTTATTTGATTTATACAGAATTTGGATTTACCATTCCCTAACAATAATTAAAAAATTAAACATTAAATAATGGAAAAAATTCTGATACAATTTTCATTTTTTTCGCAAATCTTTTTATAAAATACATCTAACCTAACCTAACCTAACCCTGATTTTTACAGATGCAACAAAGACGTTCTTCTAATGGCATCGTATTTTGTAACAGTATTTCTGTTTTGCACAAATTTACAATAATACAAATATCAATATAGAAATGTAATAAATTAAAAAATGGGAGATAATAACACACCATTAACTAATCCTTGGAAAACATTATCCACCATAACTACATTTGACAGGGGTAGGTGACATAACCTTACAATACTTGTGTATTTGTTAAGTATGTTTGCAATGACAATCATGATGTGCAAAAACTTAAGTGTTCTTATATGTCCTTTGTTTATATATTATAATGTTTTAAGTTTTAAAGTTTAAACAATTCTAATCAATTTTTTTAAAACGTGTGGTTTTTTTTTGTTTTTATTATGATTAATGTTTTATCGTGTTACTTTTATTGTCAGGTAATAATGCAAGGACCACGATTCGTTTGGATAATGAAAATAATCACAACAATGAACAAGTTGTGAGCATAGTTGCACCTTCTAGTAGTCTTCTAATTCAATCACTTATACAGCAACTATGTATACTGTTTGAAGGAGATTCAGTTCGTAGAAATAAGCTATATTTTGGTAAGGCTGCTTTTGACAAAGATTAAATCCGATGTATTTTTATTAATATTAGAAGCTTTAATTTTTGTGTAACTTTAAAATAAAAGACAACGGTTTTAAAGCAAACATGTGCCTTTGTTTTAGTCACATGACTAATAAAATATTCTTACAATTTTATTATTAATAGTTTATTATTGATAGTTTTCCATATTTGAAAGCTTTCAATCAGGAAATTAATTTACTTTTATAATTTCAATACGAAATAATTTCAAACTTTATAATTTCTTTAAATTATATTTTTTTATCTATCCAAAGTTCTGAAGTAGATGATGGTAATTTTAATATTTGGTTTTAGCTATTTGTGATAGACTTTATGAATTGAAGCTGATTGATCATTCCTATAATATGATAGAATTTGAACCATTAAGAAGTCAATATCAACGTGTACTATATCAATTATTTACAGTTGCATGTGCAGCAACTGGTTGTGAAAGTACTCTTCAGATTCCTAGGTGTAAAATTTAATCTAAATTATCTTTATTAATGTACAATTATAAGAAATTGATAAAATGGCATTCATATATTTATTTCACACAGTTCATTAACAACACAATGGTCCTGGTATCATGGAGAATTTCAGGAATTAAGTTTCATTGGCGCTGGTGGATTTGGTAATGTTTTTAAAGCCTTACATCGTCTTGATGGTATTGAATATGCAATTAAAAAGATAATAGTACATTCTGGACGAGTTAAAAATGTAATGCAGCATCTTGAAGAAGTGAAAACTCTTGCTAAGTTAAATCATACCAATATAGTTTCATATAAGAGTGCATGGATTGAACCAATATTACCTTCAACTTTCCTACCAAGTCTAGTATTCTCGAATCATACGCAAAACAAATTAAGTTCTATAGAGCACATAAGTAAAGATAGATATAAATTAAGTGTAAATCAGACATCTAATACACAGAGTCCACTAAATTCTAGTAATAATATTTGGAGTAGTCAAAGTCTAAAAGAAAGTCATGAAGAAGATATATTGTTGACATACAGTAGAAAAACAACTTGCAAATCTGGTATGTATAATTGTATCAATTAAATGATGTTATTTATTACTTATGAATGAAATACATGATCTACTATTGTAGGAAAACAACAAATAATAGAGGAGAATATTGTTAAACAAGATGCAGAGGAAACAAGCTCCAATAGTATATCTTTTAGAAGAGATGAAGAGTATCAAGATAATAAAACCGAAAAAAATACAAATTATACAGATGCCAGTAATTCATATGAAGAATGCAGTAGCAGTAAGAAACTTTTACCATATGTATCACAAATGGTACAAATATATTTATTACTTTTATTCATTATTATTATTTTTCCTTTTTATTGTCTCTTAACTGAAAATATTTTTATATTTAAAGAATAAAACATATGCAACATTATACATTCAAATGACTCTTTGCGAAAAAACACTTCAACAATGGTTGGATGAAAGAATAGAGGTCACTCCACAGGCAATGATCAGTGCGATATTAACGCAAATTCTTTGTGGCTTAGATTATATACATTCTCGTGGAATTGTGCATCATGATATAAAGGTAACAGGAGAATAAAACTTTCGTAATTTAAATGAAGTATTTAAAGAATCTTTGCTTAAAGGGTCTCTCTACTGTAACGACCGAAAAATTAGGTGATATTTCAGAATTTTTTACAAGAAATCTATGAGATGCATTACTCTAAAACTTTATAGATTTTTTGAAGTACATTTCGCGAATACTCAGTATTTTTTCGTGTTAAAATATCTGTTTATTTAAGAGTGATAGCGATTCAGCTGGAACGCCTAAAAAAAATTTTTTGTCCATAAAATCAGCCTTTATAGTGGACTGAAACTAAACAAATCACAGAGATTTTGATCTTTATAAGTGTGGCTATAGCCCGAACTAGGATACTTGAAAAATATTAAAAAATGAAATAATGACCGCGTTGTAAAAGAAAACTTTCGTTTTTTTGCCTAAAAAACGACTGGTTTTTTAATTTGCAAAATTCGAATTGTGCGTATAACAAAACAATCCTAATTTGAGCGAGAATGACACATCTACTGAACATTTCTGTCAAGTTTAAAATAAATTGATCAATCCATTTTTAAGACACCATGGCAACCAATTTGAAAAAAGCTGTTTCTAGAAAAACACGTTTATAGTTTTGGGTATTGAAAAGTAAGTATTTTTAAAAACTTACATCTGTTTTTTGGTGGTCTGTTATTCCAGACCCATGCAGCAAACTTTCTGGTTCCTCGAAAAATTCTTGTTCAAATTGTTGTCAGAGCGTCCTTAATGCTATGTAGGCGCGGTGTTCCTGTCTTTTCAGCCGTTTCGTGTCATAAGTGTCGATGAAAAATTTGTATTGCTGTCCAATATTGAATTTCAATTCCGTCATTTCATCAGCAGAGTTAACATTTCTCCTTATTGTTAAATCGTAATAATTTGTCAATTTTTTTATAAGGACAAATATTCAGTTACTTTTTTCTCCATTTTTTTTGTTTCTTCTTGTTTTATACTTCAAAGCCGCGTAACCATTCGTTTTTCAAGGTGACCAATATATCCACTTCTTACTACTTGAAAATTGTCGCCATAGGGATTCAAACCTACAATTGTCTTGTACAGTTTTCAATCTTATCGCCGATGTAATTGACGTACGTGTAACGTTTAGCTATAAAATAGGTTGTAGCCTGGTTAATACTCTAAATTTCAGTTCACAACTTCATGGACATATTTTCCAGATGGTGGGTTTATGCCAAAAAAAAATCGATTTTTTTTCGATTGTCACAGCAGGGAAACCCTTTAATACTTAACAATATGAATAATTTTTTACTTTACTTTAGCCAAGCAACATATTTATTTCAACATCAGGTCAGCTTCAAATACAACTAGGAGACTTTGGATTGGCTTGTCCATTACAGAAAGAAAATCACCATTCCATACTTGGTACACATATGTATGCTGCACCAGAACAGTTACAAGGAAAATGCAACCCTAAAGTATTATTAACTTTTTAAATCCAGCTCTGAGATATTATTCCTAATTTTAAGGAATATTTTAAGTTACTTTACATTCTTACAGAGTGATATATACAGTTTGGGAATAGTACTTTTAGAACTATTAGTACATACAAAGACACACATGGAAAGAGTTAAAATAATTAACGGTTTAAAAAGAGGTCAAATACCAACGACATTGACTGCAACTTACCCTAAATGGGTATGTGCTTACAATAAAATAATATTGTTTTAGAAGAAAGAATTTTAAGATAAAATTAATTCATTTTTGTATAGGCGCACATAGTAAGTCAATTAGTCCAAGAAGATCCTGAGAAAAGGCCATCGACAAATCAGTTGTTACAGGACTAAGAAAGGATACTGATGTTAGAAAAATGTATTACTAAACATGGTATATCATTACAAGACGTATAAACTCTTATATTTATTGCTTTGGAAGACAAATTAAAAAAAAAAAGCAGAAAGTATTGTTTTTTCAATTAATTATAAAAGTGTAAAAAAGTAAGTTTTAGAACATGCATTCTTACTCCAAAAATTCAGTAAAACATATTAATGATTGTAATTTATTACATGAGGGAATTATGCATTTGCTAAGTATCTTTATATTGTTACGGCTTACGCTTGTGTCCTCACACGGAGCGGAATGTCGGTTAGTTGATAGGAGGTTGGAACATTCAACATATGTTGATACGTCGTTCTCCAAAGGATGAATCAGTTGGAACATTCAACGTGTGTAGAATACGTCGTACTCCAGGTGTGGAACGATCTGAGGGCTTTGCGTGTCGTAATGTTCGATATACCTCGAGCGGTAAAGGTATGGTTGAAATGAACGAGTCTGACTTAATGATGATATACAGGGTGTCCCAGGTTTTAATGGCCAAACGTTGTCAGTATGGGTTGAAATTAGAAAAAAATGTTATACAAACATAGGTTTTTTGAAGCTTTATTAAAAAGTTATGACAATAATACAAAATTAAGAGAACAATAGCAGACTCGTGGTTACTGCGATATATGTAATACAGCAATAGATTAGCAATATTTAGGTTTACTCTGTTTATGCAAGAAGTAACTAATACTCCATCTGAAAAATGTCCACCGTTTATGGCAATGCAAGATTGACATCAGAAAACATCAGAAGACATCAGAAAACAGAATTTATTACTCTGCGAATTTCGTTATTATTTTGTTTCATTTCAGTAAATGCATCGTTAATTTTTTATATCAATTCAGTACGCGATCTTATAAATATCGCGCAAATATTGATGATCTATTTCTGTATTACATCGCAGTAACCGTGATTTTGCTATTGTTCTCTTAATTTTGTATTATTGCCATAACTTTTTAATAAGGCTTCAAAAGACCTATGTTTGTATAACATTTTTTTCTAATTTCAACCCATGGAATATACTGACAACGTTTGGCCATTAAAACCTGGGACACCCTGTATATTCAAGTATAAATAAGAAGTTACAAGTTACTTCGATCCAACGATCGGTTACAATGATAGTTAAATAGTTAAATGGTTAATTCTCGACTTGGCGAGGATATTCTTTCTCAGTTTACGCGACGAGCCGCGGGGGTGTCTTAGACAGTATTGAGAATATAATAATTCTGTGCTCGAAAGGGACTACCACCCGATCGTGCTCGCGTTAACATTCCGACTGGCAGAGTAACGTTCTGGTAAAAAAAACTGCGCCCCTGAGCGTCAAAAATCAGGCCCTTATATACCCTAAAAATCGTGAGTTTTGGTGGTGGGAACGCTAGATTTTCCTGGGAACGGAATGCGTTCGTTTGCCCTATCTCAAGGGCTTTCTAGGGGATGCGCGATAGACTGAAGACTCGGCGCCACGTGTCGGCTAGGCTACGTATGTAAGTAACAAGGTATAAAGTTTTAATGGATAGCGTAATGATAAATGCGTTTAATTTGTTCCTTTTTATATCAAATGGAGACGTTTGTAATATTTTTAATATTACTAGCTTTAATTTAATTTTATAAACACAACATAAAT